AGTTGTCCAGCTAATTTCTTTCTATTTTTAGTAGAGACGGGGTCTTGCTCCTTCTCAGGCTGGTCTCAAACTCCTGAGCTCAAACGATTCACCTGCCTGGGCCTCCCAGAGTGCTAGGATTATAGGTGTGAGCCACCATGCCCTGCCCTGGTTGTATCTGTTCTTAATTTTCATTCTGGTTTTCTCTAGCCTCTTCTCTCTAAAGTGTATATTAATGGTTTAGAATCTGTGGGGATTTTCCTCCAATGAGGAAATCTTTGGATCCTTAATGCCTTTTATGGTTATCTAATTCATGTCTCCTCTTGATGTTAAGCACATTTTCTCTTCTCTTTTATCTAAAGCTTTTTCTCTGTCTTCATTGTTCCTGGTATGTCCAATGATATTTTGTGGCTCTAGTGTCCATGTTCACTTTTAACTTTCAAAGAGACAGAGTGCCCACAAATCAATTCCCTCTCTTTTCCCTGCCTCTCCCCCGTGGGTCAGGAGATACCCTATTCTTTTCTTTAAACTTTTTATTATGGAAATTTTCAAAGTTACACAAAAGTGGAGGGAGTAGGATGAGTTCCCTCTCCCACCTCCTGGCTGCAACAGTGATCAGCATTCTACAAATTGTGTAAATCTCTCCCTCCTCACTTTTTTGCAAGAATATTTTAAAGAAAATGCAAGACATTGTCATTTGACCTGTATGTACTTTCTTAGTCATTTCTGACTGAAAAGGTGTATTTTTAAAGCCACCATGCCATTATTACAACTGACTCAAGTAACAGTAATTTACTTGTTTCATCTGTTACCCAATTCATAATCAAATATTTCTGATTGTTTCGAGGATGAGAGTTGGTTTGTTCAAATCAGTCTCTAAACAAGGCCCATACATCGTGTGAAGTTGTTATAGCTCTTAAGCCTCTTTGATTTTATAGCATTTCCCATGGACCTTTTTAATGCCGTGGATGCGCTGGGTTGTTTGACCTCTAGAATGTTACACATTCTGGACTTGATTCTTCATGAAATCATTTCAGGCATTTCCCTACATTTCCTGTAAATGGTAATTTGGCTGGATTAGATTCACATTCAGTTTTTAGAAATGGCTTTATTGATAAATAATTTACATATGTCAACCTAAAGGAAAAAACCGAGGCAAAATTAATAGAGTTTATTTGGGCCACGTTTAAGGACTGCAACCTGGAAGCATAGATTCAAGTTGCCCTGAATATATGCTCTAGTTAGCAACAATTACAAGTGGGTTTTTAAAGGAAAAGAAGAGGCAGTTCCTATGTTTACCAAAAATTTACATGAAAATAACACAAGCTACTATTGGCTGTACATTGTTCTTTGCATCACAAATTCCAGGAACATGAGATGATAGGTGAGGCAGCTAGTCAGGAACAAAATGCCTTTGGACAATTGCCCCTGTTGCGGTGGGGTGGAGTGGGGGGCAGGGGACTGAAGCCTCTTGGCATGGTAAACTTTGCATACCTCATGTAGCTCACGCTGCTCTGAGCTGTTTTTCTTTTTTCACATATACAAATCGCCCATTTAAAGTGTACAGTGCAGTGGGTTTTAGCATGTTTACAGAGTTGTGCAATTATCACCACTATCTAATTCCAGAACATTTTCATGCCCAAAAGAAAGCTCCTACCTATTATCACTAATCTGCCTTCTGTCTATGGATTTGCCTATTCCGAACATTTCATGTAAGTGGAATTATGTAATATGTACAATGGGAGGTCCTTTTTGACTGCCTTCTTTCACTTAGCATAATTTTTTAAGGTTCATCTATGTCATAGTATGTATCAGCACCTCATTCCTTTTTATCACCGAGTAATACTTCATTATATAGACATAACACATTTTATTCATTAATTGATGGATATTTGGGTTGTTTCCACTTTTTAGCTGTTATGAATAATGTTGCTATAAACACTCGTTTACAAGGTTTTGGTACATGTTGATTCTGTATTTAATTTTATATACCGCAACTTTACTAAAGTATCTTGCTTGTAGTCATTTTTAAATTATTTTCTTTTAAATTTTTCTAGACATATAATCAAATCATCTGCAAACAGAACTAGTTTTACCTCTCCCTTTGCAGCTCTTCTGCCTTTCGTTTTTAAAATCATGTCTTCTTGGCATTAGTTAATATGTTCAATACAGTGTTAAATAATAGTGCTAATAGTCTTGTTCCTGACTCTATTGGAAATGCCATTAAGAATCTGACTTTAGAGTCCACACACACACACACACACACACACACACACACACACAACATGAATAAGCTGCTATTCTGGCATGTTTTGTCTTTAAAGCAAGGATAATGGCACACAGCATGTCTAGAGAGCCAGGCTATGTGTCGTTGTCTTGCACAAATCTGGGTTTCCTAATGACGGGGAGTACAGGGAAATATGTCTAAGGGCCAAATCTGAAGCCTCCTTTAATTCCTACTTTATTGGGTGTTAATTGGTTTTTTTAATCATGAATGAGTGTTAGATTTTTGTCAAATATCTTTTAAGCATCTGTGAAAATGATCATGATTTTTCTCCTTACATATATTAATATGATGAATTGTATTGATTCCTTAGTACTGAACCACTCTTACGTTTGGTCCTAATGGATTATTGTTTAATACACTTTTGGATTCTAGTTACCTAATATGTTATCTAAGATTTTTGTATCTATATTCATACAAGAGATTGATCAATCGTGTTCTTTCTGTTAATTGCTTTTCTTTTACATAGTCAAAACTATGTCCTAATATGACAGAGAAGAACATCAAATAGTCCATCAAGACCAGGAAATCCTTAGAATATGTGATGAGACTCTACTCTAAAACAGTAATTTCCCTGACACTGTGAAATGCCAGGTCTACAATCTATCCTTACTGGGGTATTTGTCCTTCTGCCCCTTGGGTTATACATCTACATTTCTGAATGTGCAGCATCCCGAAGTGCCTTGAATCAGTAGACGACATCCTTTCTCCACGGCTGTGAGTCAGGGGCTTCAATTTTTAATAAATACATTTCTGGCCCAAAATTCATTTAACTCAAAGTGATGCCTTCCGTAACAAGAATGGTATGTTTGAAGCCTCTCATTAATACTGTTGCAGTGTCTTCTCTTTTCTCCTGCACAAGATCTCTGCATCTCCAGAATTACTTGCAATCCTATGGTGCCATTAGTTTTATCTCATGGAAACATTATGATATGTTTAAAATATTTCATTAATTTGTTAAAAACGTAAGTAGACTTTGGTAGCAATATTAGGATAAGAGAAGGTTTAAACTTGCAAAGAAAAGCCAAAACTCATTATTTTAATGTAGACCTCCATGTGTATTTTAAATCATTTTCTAATTTAGTTGTCCTGTTAGATGTGCTTAATGAAAGTTAGATCAAATGGATGCTTTTAATAAAACTCTACATCAGTGCTTCCATACAAACTAGAATTTCATTTCCTATTTGTCTCTTACAGAGGACATAAAGATAAGATATTTGTGGTAAAGTGTAACCCACACCATGTTGACAAACTGGTTACAGTTGGGATAAAGCACATCAAATTCTGGCAACAAGCAGGTACTGTCATTTGGGTTTATCATTTTGTGTGGTCAAGAGCTTTACCCCAGCTGAAAAGAAAGAAAAAAGACAAGGCATTGCTGCTACCTGGCTTGTCTTGGCAATCTAAAATAAAAATATACCTTAAAAAATTCTCTTCGAAATTCACTTAGGACTGCTTAACATCTAAGCTGTGAAACTTAGAACACTCTATATGCTATGCATATTTATCAGTATCTAGAAAGCTTTGGAAAATGTTCTGCTCTGAAAATAATTATTTTTATATTTAGGCTTCTGTTTTGAAAGTAGTAATTATGTTGGACTACTTACTAAGGAGGAAATAATCTCTTTGGGTGAATAAAATGTTCAATATTTTGAAGGTTCCTTTATCTGTCATTGAATTTAGCACACGAATTCAACCCTGACTCTGCACACAGTGAGTGGTCAAAATAAATATTTGTGGGTTATAATGTTGCTGATAATGATGAGCAAATAAGCATGGCAGAACGTGGAAGAATATCTTATTCTTCTCATTAAAAAGCCAGCCCCATTGTTGCAATTGTTTCTGAATTCCTTCTATCAGTAACCTCAATCTTACAATGCACAAAATGTGAATAAGGTATTGCTCAGTGCTTTTTGCTTTCAAAGAAAGGATGATGCCACCCAGTGTGTCTGGAGAGCCCAGCCTGTAGGGAGTTGTCTTGAATGAAGCTGCAAGGACATGTGGATGTCTAAGGGGCAAATCTGATGGTTTGTCCCAGTACATTGCCTTCTCCTACGTAATTTGTTTTTCTCACCCCAAAATTGCTGTGATAAAAATTGAGGCGGAACACGTATAACATTCTTACATTTTACATTTACAGTTGGTACTGTTTTTATTCTTTTTGGTCAGTATTCATGACTTTCCTTACTCCCCCAGGCACTTAGTCTCTCCTTCCTCTGACTGGCACAGAGCTTACACTGAGCCTTGGGTACACGTGCCTTCTACTGAGATGTGGATGAGTCCTCTCTCCAGCCATACCCTAAGTTCCTCCAAGACAGGAACTCTTTCTTTGCATCTTGCTGTTCCTGCATTGAGCACTGGGTCCACCACAACACAGGGATTCAATAAACACTGAATTAATGAACGAGCAAATGAGATGTCCTCTTACGATATTTTTATGATCTCCATAATTTTTATGTATACAAATAATGAAGGTTTTTCATTGAAGGTAGTCACTCCCCATGCTCATAGGAAGTGTCAATTAATTTTTTTAAAAAATACTATCGGTCCACTCCAGGTGGGGGCTTCACCTCTAAAAGAGGAACTTTTGGAAGTGTTGGAAAATTGGAAACAATGATGTGTGTTTCTTATGGACGAATGGAAGATCTAGTGTTCTCAGGAGCTGCTACTGGAGATATTTTTATTTGGAAAGACGTTTTACTACTGAAGACAGTGAAAGCTCATGACGGGCCTGTGTTTGCTATGTATGCATTGGATAAGGTATGGCTTGTTTTTCAGAATTCATTTTCCTCATCAGCTTTCTAAAATTATAAGGTAGAGAGGAAGGCCACCAAGAGGATGCCTGTATCTAAAAACACTCCTATCTGAATTAGGAAGTAGTCGTCATGAAACTCAGTTGAGGAAAGGTAGGAAGGGGAACACAAATATTTTTATGATTTTTCATTTATAATTGTTTCTTTATATGCATTTTCTCTCCACTTTTTTCACACTTGCTCTTCCTGGCTCTCACTCGTAAGGACCCCTTAAGAAGTGCCAGAATAAATGTGGACACACAGTAGCAGAAGAGTACTGAGAAGTATCTCAGTGTTGTTTTCTTCCTTGGTGGTACAATGAGCAGAGACCTGGAAGTATCAAGTAGTTAGATTATTGTCCTGTACATTAATTTGTTATGATCAAAAGTTATGTTCATAACCAGTTTGCTCCTGTGTAGACAGGCTCAGCTTTAGCAAGAGTGTTAGAGTGAAGTGAGTTCACTGGCTATACTTCTACTCAAGCTCATCATTGCCCTGGTCTGACCACCTGCCTCGCAGGATTCCTTTACAAAGATGACACTTACCTCTGTCTTGGTCCGTTTTTACTGCTGTAACAGAATTCCTGAGACTGGGTAATTTATGATGAACAGAAATGTATTGGCTCACAGTTATGGACTGAAAGTCCAAGATCGAGGGGCTGCATCTTGGTGAGGGCCTTCTTGCTGTATCAATCCTATGGCAGAAGGTGGAAGGGCAAGGGACAGCGAGAGGGGGCCAAGTTTACTATTTTATGATGAACCTGCTGCTGCAATAATACCATTAATCCATTCCTGAGGACTCCGCCTCTTTTAAGAGGCCTACCCACCTCTTAAAGGTCCCACATCTTGATACTGTTACAACGGCAATTAAATTTCAACATGAGTTTTGGAGGGAACAAATATTTAAACCGTAGCACCTTCAATGCTGTTAAAACACCTTCTTCAATCAACTTAGTAGCAAATACCGGTTTTTTTCCATTTACTTGGTGGTACCAGTTCATCTGTGGTCTCTGACTTCTAGTCTAAGCATCCCAACACACCTAGCTAAGACAAGCCTCACTTTTCATTTACCTGTCCCCCCGTAAATGTGTTGATCCCATTGCAAAGGTAGGTTCATGTTAGATGTGCAACTGTAATGGTTGTTGTAGTGGTTAAGCTGTTTTTTACTGGCAAATACGTTTTTGGTTAAACTGCAAATGTTAGAAAAGATTAAGGCAGAATGCAGAATTTCTGTAGGCCCAGAAGTAGATATGATATAACTTGTTTAAAACTCTCTTGTTTGGGAAGTTAAGCTGCAGAATCATGGGGAAAGACAAGGATATCACAATATAATATACTGCATTTAAACTTAATTTGAGGATTGAATTTCCCTGGGTACAAATTCTATAATAAGGATATTTAATGTAATACACTTCAAAATATTATTTCTTTGTGAACTTCATTGAAATGCATCAAATTAAAAGTTTCTGAGAAAACAATGAATTAGTATTTTTCTTAAAAAAAAAAAAAACCCTTCTAAGAACAGTTGGTATATATGATAAACTATTAGAAAGGAAAACTAGTAAAGCCAAAAAATCATAAGCTTAGAACAAGAATGAAGATCACTGTTCAGTAAAAAAAAAAAAAAAAAAAAAAAAAAAAAAAAAAAATCCAATATGTTAAGCTTTTCACTTTCCAGGTTTTGTAACAATTAATCTGGATTTTAATTTTGGAAATTGATGTCTATTGAACAAAATATTAATAGGATAGTTTCATTATATTAAGGACCTAAGTTATTCTTAAATAATGATGTTTTCTTCCTTCTTATTTAACAATAATTTTAAATGTGATGTTAATTCCAATCTGTTTGGTAGGGGTATGTGAGATACCAGAAACTCTCCTAGGTTTGGGGACTGGTCCTGTACCACAGGAACTCACGTTCTAGGTGGGAGACTGGGCATAGAAACAGCTGCCCTGGACCCAGTGTGCCGACTGACAACCGTGGTCTGAGGAGAGTACAGTGAACACAGTGAGAATGTGCTTAATCCTGCTAGAGAAGTGGGGAGAGATGCTTCCAGAAAGTATTATATGAAGAATGTTCTTGCTATAATAGATTTTCAGTCTCATATGTTTAGGTAGATAACCATCACAAAGCTGCCTTAGCCATGAGAGAATCCTCTTAGGGCTGGGTGGGTAACTGGTCATTTTGATGTGTGTATAATACCTACCACGTGTGCCTTCGCAGGGCTTTGTAACAGGTGGAAAGGATGGAATCGTCGAGCTCTGGGATGATATGTTTGAAAGATGCTTGAAGACTTACGCCATTAAAAGAGCAGCATTGTCAACTAGCTCAAAAGGTGACGCTCTGAAATATGCAATAGAAATCTTTCTGTTCCTGGGGATGGAGAAGATAGTACTAAAGTTCTTGGAAAACTATTATCAAATCAATTCTTTCTCTTTCTCCCACGTTCAGAGATCTCAGCCCCTGATAGAAATGTCGAGGATGACTGCCTAGTACCTAGTACTTTGGAACTATAAAAATCAAATTTATACTAGTAATTAGTGTTTTTTTGTTGTTGTTCTATTAAATACAACATCTCCCCCTACTCCCAGGCTTGCTTTTGGAAGATAACCCTTCCATTCGTGCCATCACTTTGGGACATGGACATATCCTGGTGGGAACGAAAAATGGAGAGATTCTGGAAATCGATAAGAGCGGCCCAATGACGCTACTCGTGCAGGTGCTGTATTTGCACATACTGTAAACCACACGTCAGGGTTGGAACTAGGGAGAGGCAAGGGAGGTGCTTAGGGTGCAAAATTTAAGGAGGCACTCTTGGTTGTGTAGGTGTTGAATTAGTGACCTATTGCTGTGTAACAAATCGCTACAAGCTTAGCAGCTTAAGCCAACACATGTTTATTATCTCACAGTGTGTATGGACCAGGAATCTGAGCACAGCCTAACCGGGTCCTTTGATCAGGGTTTTACAAGGCTGCAGTAAAGGCCAGGGTTGCAGTCTTATCTGAGGCTCAACTGAGGAAGATTTTTCCAAGTTCACGGAGGTTCTTGGCAGAATTCAGTTCCTTGTGGTTGTAGGTGTGAGGGCTTTTTTTTTTCCTTGCTGGCTGTTGGTCAGAGGCCACCTCAGTTCCTAGAGGTTGCCCACAGTTTCTTGCCACATAGGGTTGGCCAACATAGCTGCCTGCTTCCTCAAAGCTAACAAGAGAGGAAAAAATAGACACTGTGATCTTATGTAACATAATCACATCATCGCATACCTGTAATCATGAACGTTCCATCACCTTTGTCATATTCTGTTGGTTAGAAACAGTACATGGGTCATGCCACCCTGGAAGGGAGGTGACATGCAAAACTGTGAAAACCAGGAGGGCCCTGAGGGCCACCTTAATCAAGAGCCTGTCCTTCATGGTCCACCTTTGGCCACCAATTATTCATGTCACTTGCACTACAAAATACTCCTGCCAAGGTCCCCAAGAGCCATATCCTATTACAGGATCTGCTCAAAGTCCAGACTCACCATCTAGATCAGATCCAGGTGTGGATGAAGCACCTTAGGTATACATCCTCTCTATCTGTCAATCCGTAAAACCAACAAGACATGTTATCTGCTCCCCACACACCAAACGTATGAGTGCATCTTTGGGTTGTGTGTAACTGTAGTCTCAGCCTTGATTCACTTAAGCACATTAACTGCTCCTTATCCTCCTCCCTCCTCAAGAATCATATTTAGGTAAAATCAGGTTAAAATAATCATTAGAATCCTCAAGGAGCAAACAAATGATAAACTCTCACCTGGGGTGGGGTGGCGTAGGATGTGGAGCGAGTAGGTACTCCTGCCCAGTTCAGTGATGGATAGATGGCATTTTTAGGCAGAAGGGGCGTGGGGAGGGGTGAAGGATGTGCGCTCAGAAGTTGGAGTGAAAAGAATATGCACCAATGATGCAGCTTCAGAACCTCGGTGGGTCCCGTGGAGCTGCTTCCCCTCCTTCCCTTGATCTGAGTCCTGCCTGCAGGCTTGCCATAGCAGGGATGAATCCCAGAACCCCACTGAGAGGGTCACTCTGATCTACAGTACCCTGCACATAGGTCTGCACACACACCATGGCTCGGAACACTACAAGGTTTTAAATATAGATGTATCCAAGCCTCACCCTGGATATCCTGAATATATTCATGTTTTAAAAAGAAAAAAATCTGCAAATAAAACAAATCTCACAAGCAGCCAGCTTGGAGAACATGCATCCTTGAGGCATGACCTCTTTGTGCTCCAGCTGTTCTTGCTTTTGTTGTTTCCTTCCAAACTGATTTTTTTTCTCTCTGGCCATAACTTCGTATTTAATTTTATTTAAAAGTATTTCTTTTTAATCTCCAAATGTTTGCCAATTTAAATTGTTTCCATACATGCCATATTGCTAAATATTTTGGAAGATTTATACTATGATATAATTTAAACAGCACCCTAAGATTTAAACTCCAAGTCTTCTCATTTTAACAAGTATTAGGTTATAGCCGGGGCAATTTTATTTAAGTATGTTGTAAACTTGAATGATAAATGCTTTTTACTTTTTGGTTCTCTACAATTTTGTTCTTTCCTATATTTGTTTCCATTGCTCTAGTAATAAAAATAACCATAACTACTACTTACCGAGCACCTACTATGTGCCCGGCTACCGACTATGTGTCCAGCCATACTATTTTGCAAAATTCCTCTCTCATCTCCACAACAGATTTGCTCAGTTGAAATTATTTTATAGATGAGGGACCCAAAGCCCAGTAAATTGCCTGCAACCACATGCTAAGAACTGCAGAGCTGGGATTTGAACCAAGGGTTGTCACTACACCAGGCTGTTCCTTCCCCACGTCTCCTAGTGTGGATACTGCAGGAAAGCCCCTGAGCTATGGGGTGGCCAGTGGAGCTGGTAGAACCTACAGAGATCAGATGTTGGTTACACCGTTCTCACCTTGCATGTGCACCATTCCTTCCCTTTTTTCTCAGCATCTCTCTTTTCCCCATCTGTTCTATCATTTGCTGTTTCTTTTTAGGTAAAACTCAGTAGTTCAGTTCAACTGATGTCTGCTGGGCTCCTGCCAAGGTCAGCCCTGTGCTCTGTGGTGTGCACCGTGGAACAAGGGCTTCCTGCTCTCTCAGGGCTAACAGTCACTTGAACCCAGAATTTTGAGGCTATAGTTAGCTACGATCCTGCCACTGCACTCCAGCCTAGGCAACAGAGTGAGACCCTGTGTTTAAAAAGAAGAAAAAAAGTTTCTTCCGGCCTGCCTCACTCACTGTTCGTTCCTGTGTTACACAGGAATTAAAATAATCAGATTAGATTATGGAAATATAATTTTGAAATCAGAATGAAGCAGTGATTTGAAGTATCTCAGAACCCACAACAACCTTGTTCTCAAGTGAAACATACAAAGGGAAGGAACTGAGTCCATAGAAGAGCCGCAGCAAGCAGAGCTGGTCTGGGGGGGTGTGGGGTGGACACCTGACCTGTCCTCTGACCAGGACTCTAAGGTTGAGAGGCTCCTGATGAGAAGAAAAATAGAAAACTGGGGATGATGTAGGGTGCTCCCAAATCCAATAAATCCAAAAACCACGTCTATGCCCCTCAGCCCCTCATTTTCTCAGATATCTGAATGTCAGCTGTATTTGGAACTTTGCATCTTCTGCCAAATTACTGTTTTGCTCAAATAGCTTCCCAGTTAAATTGGAGTCATCCAATTTCTCTTTGGAAAGCCACCTGTTCCCAAAAGCATTCCAGCTACAAACACCTTTCAGATGCTTGTGTAAGGTCTTCCTTTTTGCTTTACTGAGCAAAGCGTTTTTATAATTAGCCATTAAAAGCAGAAATTCAGTAAATAATTTGGTCTGTTTCATTGCTCTATAGCACTAATCTCTTCTTTACACTGCATTATTTTATTTTATATATTTTTTTTTGAGACAGAGTCTCACTCTGTTGCCTGGGCTAGAGTTCCATGGCTTCAGCCTAGCTCACAGCAACCTCAGACTTCTGGGCTCAAGTGATCCTACTGCCTCAGCCTCCCTAGTAGCTGGGACTACAGGCATGTGCCACCATGCCCGGCTAATTTTTTCTATATATATATATATATATTTTTTTTAGTTGTCCAGATCATTTCTTTCTATTTTTAGTAGAGACGGGGTCTTGCTCTTGCTCAGGCTGGTCTCGAACTCCTGACCTTGAGCGATCCACCCACCTTGGCCTCCCAGAGTGCTAGGATTACAGGCGTGAGCCACCGTGCTGGGCCCTTTACACTGTATTATTGAGTGACAAATTATAGGAATCAAAGTCATTTTCTCCTTGGTTTTATCTCTGTTGTTGTTTTAAGCCATCCAAGCATGTTTGTGATAAGATACACGTATGTGGACTCGCTCCAGTGCACGTTAAGCACCTTTCAGGCTTCTGATGTTCATTGTTGGCATATGGACAGACCAACTAGTGAACAGATGCTAAACCTGAACTACACCTAGGACACTGGAAATGAAAATTCAGCTCTATTTCTGCTCTGCCAAATGCTATGCAGTCAAAGGACTAACATTGCATAAATAATGAGAATATTGCTGTCTAATTCCACTGACAAAGATAGGTGGCACCTACATCTTTTAGGATATGATTTTATTGAAGGAGGCAGTTTGTGTCCTTGTGATCAAGCTTCTTTACTAGGAGGTATGCCTATACTATGTTTATTCACTGTCAACCAGGATAAAATGAGGACACTTCATTCTTAACCTGGATGTTTCAAGTGAGAAGATGTTTGCCATCATACAAACAAAACCAATAAACAAGGAGTCCATGTTTTACTTTCCAGATGAATGAATTAACATCACGTAGGCCCAGCTGTAGATTCAAGTTCAAGTTAGTGCAGTCATTTTGGCTAGAGGAAGCCCATACTGTGTTTGTCTTTATACCTGTTTGGGTACTCTCAGGCCGAATGTGCAGAATGAGGCTGAAGACAGGCTCACCAAAAAGCTGAGCAGCGTTTATGTTGCCCCTTGTCCTCTCCCACAGGGGCACATGGAGGGAGAAGTGTGGGGGTTGGCCGCGCACCCTCTCCTGCCCATCTGTGCAACAGTGAGCGATGATAAAACGCTTCGGATCTGGGAATTATCTGCCCAGCACCGGATGCTGGCAGTCCGGAAACTCAAAAAAGGTACGTGGCATCACCTTACACATCTGTAAACGTGTTTACAAGCAACAGAACGTGTTGGGTTTATTCATTCATTCGACTAATGTTTACTGAGAGCAGCTGTTATATGCTCAAAAATATGCTGGGCAACGGAATTCAGCGTGTGTTGCTGCAGTCATCACTGAGCACAGGTAGAATTAGGCCAAAAGGCTGGCCTGATCCGGCTCCATTGTTCGCTGCATTTTCCTTGCACTGCACAGACACTTGCCACCTGGGGGCAATGTGTCCTTCCTCTTCTCATCGGGAGCTGTGGGACTCAGTTGAAGCTTATTAGCTCATAAGGAATGCGGTTTGTCTTTGTGACTAATGTCTCCAGAACTTATTTATTACTGAAAAACAAAGGTCAGTTATGTAGAAAAGCAATGTTTAATGTCAGGAAGCAAGAGCTATACTGAGAAGCACAAATTCAGCAAACGTTTATTGAGTAGCTTCCATGTGTCAGGCACTGGGGATCCCAAGGTGAATGTCCCGTGTCTAGTGTCAGAGATGGATAAGACTTGAACAGAGTTCCTGCAACAGACAGTCCGTTTAAACTGGGTAATTTGAGGCGAGTCTAAAACTATAGGTCTATTATAAAGGGATGGGGACAGCATAAGGAAATGACCAGGTATAGTGCAGCCCCATGGGCTAGTAACAGCAGTTTCCATCACCAGCCTGGGCCTGAAGGGGCAAGAGGACAGAGCAGTAGCTGCAACCTTGAAAGTGAGAGCTGTGTGCAATGGCGGCCTGAGAGCAGCTGTGACGGTCAGCGAGGGGACTTGGGCAGTGTGACCCTGAAGGAGGCAGCTAGGGGAATAAATACCATCCTCCCCATCCTTCCTCCATCCCTCCAGTCTCCCCCTCATGCTTCCCTTGGACAAACCCGGCCAGAAGACGAGGGAGCCCATTGACACAGTCCACGCAGGCCAGCCCTGGACACAAAGCAAGATGGAGAACGGCAAAGAGGGGATGGGGAGGGACAAACTGAAGATAATCTGGCACAAAGGAGGTACCACAGAGGCTCAGAGGAAACCTGCTGGCTGGAACTACTTCATCAGGGACGTGTCATGGGAACTGAGACTCAAAAGTTCTGAAGATGAGAGGAAGAGATGGGGGCCTGGCCCTAGAATATTTGCACAGAGTAGTTTTATAAGCAGAGAGGCAGGAGTGTATTCTAGGGGAGTAGAATGAAGAAAGATGTCAAGACATCAGTAAGAGTAGTGGTGGTGGCTAGCGTCGCTGAGCCAGAGACAGTGCTAGCACTTCACATTTAGTCTTTATAGGAACCCAGCGAATAATGCCATTATTATTGCCACTTACAGATTAGGAAACTGAGGCACAGGGAACTTAAGTTGTTTGCACAGCTAGTAAGTATTAATAAACTGAATTCAAACCCAGGGAGCATGGCTCCAGAGAGCACACCTGTGGCTACTGCTGGATGCTGTCTCCCTCGAGCAGGTTGCCTCTCTTTACCCCAAACTCCTGGGCCCTGGCAAGTGGGCGAGCCAAGATTCCAACCCAGCTCTGAGTCCAAAGCCTGTGCTTTCAGCCACTACAAGCTGGAATCAATTTTGCCACTAATTTATATTGGGGAAATGATAGACCAGGATCTCACTGTAGGGGACTTCAATGTCAGTCAATGGACTTTATTTCCTAGGTTAAAAATTAGTTTAAGAGAACGACTGTTAACCCATCTTTAATAAGATGACCATTCAACCCAGTTTACCCCTGTTGTTCTGGTGTAATTATTAACAGCTCTCCTTTTCACTCTCGCATGTGTCCTGGTTTGTAGATATTAGAATTAACCTAATCTTGATAACTCCTCAAGGGCAGGCTTGTTCTCCCAGTATCAGCATCCTGTCTGACTCATAGTAGGTAAATAAATGCTAGGTGCATGAACTAATAAATGCATGATTTAGATGAGCCAATTGCAGGTTATTGGTATAAACATAGCTTTCAGTGTACTGTCAACAGTGACAGAGGAGTTTGTAGGGACACTCAGTATGAAATGCCATGGCACAAGGGTGAGCGGCTGTCCCATTCCTGGGGCTGTGCTTACAAAGTCTTGTCAATAAGAGTGGTGGCAGAGGGTGGGCATTCTCTTAAACAGGCTTCCTACTAAACATACCCACATGAAGTCCACGTTCCTCATTCAGAAATGTCTCCCTGTAGCCCTACACAGAAGTGGAAAACACTGCTGGTGCAGCACTGTCATCCCGGTACAGACGAGTCCTATAGACTTCCCTTAAGAGGCTGTGGTCCATTTTCCATTCTTCCCATGACAGAAGAGGCAGGAACAAAATCTTTCACCCTGAGAATCATGCACTGTGATCCATGGATCAGAGAATTGCAGTGGCTAAAAGTATTAATAGAACGAGGTTCTCTAAAGCCAGTGTGTAGATAAGGCATGATATCCAAAAAATGATTTCTAGAAACTCCTGTTCTTAAATATTACCTCTCTTCTTGGAAGAAAAGATATCAGTTAATATTCTACTCCTTTTCTCCATTTTGCCCCACTTGTCTTTTGAAAATCCCAGATAATTCAGATACTAAGAAATGAATGAATAAACCTCATAGAAACTGAAAATGTATTTTTCATATTATGGTCATTTTCCTTGGATTTGGGGGGAGGGAAGAGATGTTTTAGATTATGAAATTTTAGTTCTCACACGTGTAGTGTTGAAGACACAGTCACATGTCTATGCATAATGCACATAAGCAAATTTCTCCATCTCTTCATTTGAAGTGCTGGATCAGAACAGCGTTCTTTGTGGATTCTTTTACAGGTGGAAGATGTTGTGCCTTCTCCCCTGACGGGAAAGCCTTAGCAGTTGGCTTGAATGATGGGAGTTTCCTGGTTGTAAATGCTGACACTGTTGAAGACATGGTCTCCTTCCATCACAGAAAAGAAATGATCTCTGACATTAAATTTTCAAAAGGTGATGGTGACCAGGGATACTTTTTTAAATACCACAGTCTGGAGACAAAAAATTTACAAGAATGGACTGTTTGATTAATAAATGTTCCCTTGACCTTTTCCCCACTTTAAAATACTAAGTTCCTGGAAGTAAATTCCCATATAAAATGTTTTAGTGCTAACTGCACCTTTTTCTTTATAGATACGGGAAAATACCTTGCTGTGGCATCCCACGATAACTTTGTGGATATTTACAACGTGCTTACTAGCAAAAGGGTTGGCATCTGTAAAGGAGCTTCTAGTTACATTACACATATCGACTGGGACTCTAGAGGTAAAGTATGTTGTGTCTTTTAAAATGTAGTTTCTGTGTTTAAAAAAAATCAATGTCCAATTGTTTGTTGTTTCCAGAGAGAATGGCAGTTGAGTATTAGAGAAAAATGGGGGGAAGCCTCCAACAACATAAATGGCTGTAATTGTACAACCCAGAAGCAGCTGCTGCTAACATTTTGAGTACTTTTTCCATCTTTTAATTATTATTATCATTATTAATTCAAGCCATTGAATTTTAAGACAAAAATACATGAAGACTTGTGTTACGTCGCAAGCACCACCTCACCTTTGGGTTGGGCGTCGGTGTCTTTGCCTTGGGTCTCCACCTCTTCCCCTGTTCTGACCAAAGCTCTACCTCCTAGAGAACCACCCAGAAAGTCTCAAGCCATTTCCTTCCTCCAACGCAGGTATAAAGCTACATGGAGCTTGTCTGAAGTTTCTCTGCTCCCCAAAATTCCCAGCCTGCCCCAACCTCCTCCAGGTCATGCCCGCAAACACCAGGAGAGTTTGTTGTTTATTTAATCACCTAATGCTACGTGCAAAGGCTTGAGCTAGAAAATGTGGAGGATCTAGAAGTAAGTAGGGCATGGTTCCTGCTCTCTTTGGAGTTTGTGATTTAGCAAGGGAAGCATACTGTCCTTCAACAATATGGAAGCACACACTGGGTAAGGCGTGAGAGCCAGAAGTGGTGAGTCACAGGGGAGGTGGTGAGCAGGGCTCAGAATGAGTGCCCGGGGGACACCAGCACTGTCGTGTGGGTTGCTCTCACATCTAATCCTAGAGATTGGCCTGGTGTTAAGGGTCTGGAACAGGCGTTTGGGAATGGGCAGGGTTCCCGCTTTCAAAAAGGTTGTAATCCGAAGGCCGGGCACGGTGGCTCACGCCTGTAATCCTAGCACTCTGGGAGGCCGAGGCGGGTGGATCATTCTGAGCTCAAGAGTTCGAGACCAGTCTGAGCAAGAGCGAGACCCCGTCTCTACCAAAAAATGGAAAGAAATTAATTGGACAGCTAAAAATATATGTAGAAAAAAATTAGCCGGGCATGGTGGCGCGTGCCTGTGGTCCCAGCTACTTGGGAGGCTGAGGCAGGAGGATCGCTTGAGCCTAGGAGTTTGAGGTTGCTGTGAGCTAGGCTGACGCCACGGCACTCGCCCCAGGCAAGAGAGTGAGACTCTGTCTCAAAAAAAAAAAAAAGGTTGTAATCCACTGCGTTAGAAAAGCACCACACCTGATGTGTGCTCTGAGGGAAGAGCTCCCAGGGGACTCCGTGGAGCTTCCCAGGGCAATGTTTGAGATGGACGAGCTGAAATTCGCCAGATAGCAAAGTCAAGGAAGAGCATTCCAGGCAAAAGGAATATGTATGCAAAGATGCAGAGGTGGGAAAAACAGGGGGATGATTAAGTAGTGAGTAATGCTGAGGGTGCAAGGGGAGGGGACTGGGAGATGCAGACCGGGCGGAGTGTGAAGGAATCTCTCTGTCATGCGAGGAAGTTTAACACTGAACTTCATTCTGCAGGCACTAGGTGACTCTACGGTATTTAGAGTGAGGCATTCCCTTCCTTGAGTGAGCCTGGGGTCGGAGAGCAACGAAAATAAACCAGGAGAAAGATGATGAGGACCTCAACCAAAAAGGGGTTATTTCAGAGACGCCAGAACATTTTCTTTCAAGTATTTCTTGAAGTAGTGGCTGTAGACTGGGGCTTGGAAATCCTTCTGCCAGGCAGGTGTTTAGTTGTAACTGTGCTTGACACCCTGGAATTGGGACTTTATGTCACCTTTACAACCTGCAGGGGTTTTACAATAGATGGAGAAAAAAAGCATGCAATTTATTGTGCAAGGTGTGCAAGTCCCAACGAGGGCAAAGGGAGATCAGATAAGTCCCTCTCGCTTTCACGTCAGGCCAGCGACAGTGAATGCAGTGCCGAAGGCTTAGGCTGGTGTTTGTGACCAGGCAGGACACTGGCCACCGGAGAGTGATCTAGGAACCAAGGAGGCTGATGGCAGCAGCTGCTTCTCAAACCCCTTCTTTGATATTCTCTGCTTCGTTGTTTTGGTTTTTTTTTAAAACAGTGATTTCCCCCTATTTATTCTCTTGCCAGGTAGATGAAGCTACAGTGAATTTTATTTAGAATCTACCACACACACAATACCTGATAGAATACGTAAAATTCTGCCACTACACTGCAAGGACCATTGGGGATTAGAACCCGTTATTATTTATATTGGGGAGAGGAAGGGTCAAGAGAAAAGTAGCTATAAAAAGAGTAATTTTTGATTGGGAGGATTTTTAGAAAATTATTTTTGATTGTGGTAAAATACGCATAACATAAAATTTACCATTGTAACCATTTTTAAGTGTACAGTTCAGTGGTATTGAGAAAATTCACACTGTTGCGCAACCATCACCACCATCCATCTCCAGAGCTCTTTTCATCTTGTCAAACTGAAACTCTGTACCCATTAAACAGTCATTTCCCATTCCCCCAACCCCTGGCACCCACCATTCTACTTTATCCCCACGAATTTGACTACTCTGGATACCTCATATGGGCGGAATCATACAGTATTTGTCTTTTTGGAACTGGCCTATTTCACTTAGCATAATGTCCTCAAGGTTCATCCATGTTGTAGCATGTGTCAGAATTTCCTTCCTCTTTAAGGCTGAATAATATTCCACTGTTATGTATATACCACGTTGTGCTTCCCTGTTTATCTATTGATGGACGGCTGGGTTGCTGCCACATTTTAGCTGTTGTGAATAATGCTGCTATGAATATGAGTGTATAAATATCTCTGCAAGACTGATTTCAGTTCTTTGAGTTGGAATTGCTGAATCATATGGTCGTTCTAGTTTCAGTTTTTTGAGGAACCACTATACTGTTTTCCATAGCACCCGTACCGTTTTATATTCCTACAGTAGTTCACAGGGTTCCAAGTTCTCAGATATTTTCTGGTTTTGTTTTGACAGTAGCCATCCTAACGGATGTTAGGTGGTATCTCATTGTGGGTTTTTTTTTTTCCTTTTTAGTTTTGCAGATGCGTAGGCCCCGTGTCAGATGCTTAGGGACATAAAGAAGAGTAAGTCCTAGAAGGAAAGCACAAGGTCTTGGCCAGGATCGGAGGGTTGCTGCCATGGAGGGGCCTAGGTGAAGGTGTGTGTAAAGTGTGGAGCCACCACTTGTAGGAAGAGAGACAAACTTCACTCTTTCTATAATTCTGCCCAAGGCCAGCCTCCTGGAGCTCAGGACGATGGGAAGGGCACGGGGAGTGAGGAGGAGGTGGTGGTCAAGGTCTTTGAAAAGCCACCTTACCTCTCATCCTAAGGGCTCCTTCTGTCAGAGGAGGGGGTTGGGCCAAGTGATTGCAATGGATTGAGAGTAGAATAGAATACTTCTGATTTTTAGGGAGGAATTACATCCGGAGCATAAAAGAAAGCGTGCCTGTGAATCTTCCCTGGTCTAACTCCACTCCCATTAGCCATGAAACATGTGTCACCCTGATATTCTTGGACTCCTGATACCCTAGTCCCCAAACGCCTGATCTTGAGAATGTGCCATGCTGCCTCGAGACCAGCCTCGCTCTCACAGCAGGGGCCTCGAGGGTCTGGCAAGGGTTGAGAGCAGAATTTAGAAGCAAGAATCTGTTTCGTGCCTTTGATCCTGTCAAAAACGGTGAAAGCATTTGCTGGAGCCAGCTGGCTTGTCAGGGCGGGGATGGCGCAGCCGCCAGCGCAGCAGCCTCCCGTGCCCATGGCAACCGCAGGTCCTCAGAAAAGCAAAAAGCACATCGGGCTCTTGCAGGGACGTCAGCTACCCCTGAATGAAAGCTCTTGCACATAATGGTTGAGAAGGAAAAAATATATGGAGAGAGAGAAGACGTAGAAGGATGTTTTCTAGATGCTATAAGTTTATTTCTGGAAATATCAGGACTATAAGATCTTTTACAAATGAACAGTTTGAGCTGTAATAGGACACTTAGTTCCCATTTTCATTGCAAATATTCTGATATGTTTGGTACATTTAGTACCGATTTTGGAATTATTCTAACTTGTAAATTACATAGCAACTGGATCGATGAATGTGGATCACTCTGGACTACAGAGCTCTGTGCAACACCCGCAAGACGTGTGCTTACCTTCTTAGTAACGAGGACATGTGTGTCTTTCAGTTCTCTTATTCTATGTGAGCAGACATTTCCAGTGAATAAAAATGTGATTCTGAAAGAATAGATTATTATTATTCTAGGGCAATTATATATGCATTAAGCAGATTTCTTGCTCTTTGCCCTCAGAATATTTCAATGGTTTTATGGAGAGAGAGAGTGTGCTCATGTAGCAGGCAGAGAGGAGAAAAAAGAGTGGTGACCTAAATATTTCCTCTAGACTTAAAAAAAAGTGTAATAACAGCAGTAAAGAAAATTTTGGTGGGGAAAAAAACCACAGCCATAATTACGCCTTCCTAATAGAAGAATAGTTTCTGGTTTATTTTTCCCCCCTTCACATCATTGGTTGCAAGGAACAGAAACCCACTCAAACCAGCTTACATTTTAAAATAATAATAAAGGATGAATTTTTTGGAAAGATGTAGAGATATCTCATAGAATCCAAGAGCAGGAAGCAACACCTTTCAAGGAATTGGCTTTAGGAATGAACTAGAAAGTGCTCAGAAACCAAGCCGGTAGTTCCTTTCTCCTCTGCTCCCACTCTTAGGCAGCTGGTCTTGGCATTGACTGCTCTTCTGGCTCTCGTGTCTGCCTTTGCCCCTCTGTTTGCACAAGCAGCTTTCCCTGACTCATTTGCACAAAGTCTAGTCTCAGCTGCCCCAAAATGCAACACTCAGTTCTAGAATCCGCCTCTCATCCCAGCTAGACACCCACTGATTCAGCTTCCCAGATTCCAGCCCAATTTGGACCTGGCCCCTCCTGGGTCAACGTCTGCCTCCAGAGTACAGCCCTTGGCAGAGGGCATGGGCTAGCTAAGTACCCCACAAGGTGTCGGTGATGCCACACAGCACACGGCACTTCTGGTGCTTGTCTATGTCAGATTCTCGAATATTCTGGCAACCATAAATTACCTCACTGAGATATTTTTAATAGTTTTGGGCTTTTTTTTTAAGTGAAGTAGGATCTTTGAAACTATGGTGTAAAGTGAGTCGTTGGGATTATCCAACATTAACAGTCCTCTGCGTTCTCTCATGGCCGAAAATCATCTAAAATTAGCCACATTGAAATGTTTTCACTGAATCCTTTTATCCTTTATCCACATGCTTTGTTGTGTGCAGTCGCTCCTGAGGGTCCTACAAATATATCACAGATATATTTAGTTCATTGGAAAAGTTTTGATTACTCATTTTCTTATAATGCTAAATAGCCGAAGATAATTAGCTTTTTTCTTTTCTCATTTATGTACATTTAGTCATAAAGTCAGGAATACGTGCCCATTTCAAAGGACACATTTGGAGATTCACTTGCTCCTCAGAGTCAAGGCAAAACTTGCTTATCCCCATGTTATAACTCACCAAATTAGAAATGATTCAGGTTGTCAGTTAAGAAAAGAGAACCTTGTTTTTAGTTAGTCACTCAGAAATAGACCTACAGTCTATACAAGCTGTAATAACTCCTTAAGATTAGCCAAGCTAGATTTCAGACCTAGGTGGTACCTATTTGAATGTTAAAGAGAATGATATAAACCACAAAGTTCTTATTTTGGTATTATTTTTCCAAGAAGAACATTTCAAGGCTAATAGATACACACAGTTATGGGGGGGAAAGGGCATGAGGGGAATGAAATGTTATTATGTATGTGTATATATATACTGAATTATTTACACATGAAATATTATGATGTCTTAAATTTTCATCAAACTGGGGTGAGGGAGTCAGTAGAGGTTCATGAAACAGTTGGCCCTGTTTAGTTAATAACTGTTGAAGCTGAACAGTGGGCACATAGGAGTCCTTTATACTATTCTTCCATATATTTTTGAAATTTTCCATAATTAAAATGCTGAAAAATGTTAGAACATATATGTTTTGAGTTACTTAAATTTCAAGCCATAAGAAATTGTTGCCACTGTAGGAGGAGAATTAGGAAATCTAATCTTTTTCACCGTCAGTCAAAATGAATCCAACATTACAATTTGACATCAGACTGAAAGACTATTTTTGCTTGCCATTTTGTTTAGGGAAAGTCTTGGATTTCTTTTCAAATTTTCAATAAGATGAGGGTGAGGTGGGGAGAAAATGAGTGCTTATAGTTTGTTTTGTGTGTCCTTTCTGTTTCTAAATTTTAAAGACGAATTTATAGACCTAAGTAAATGTGAATGCTCACAAGAATCTCACTTCTAATGCCATAATTCTTGCCAAAGCAGTTTGCTTTTACTTCTTCTATGTGCTAGGAAGCAACTGGGAAAAAGAGGAAAATATTGATTTTTGTCAGGCTTTAGAAAACTCCAGCTATTTTCAGTGCAACAGAGTAAAACACATCAAGCTTGATTCTTCTGTTATTTGAAAAATGTCCAAGGTCAAATTTTAAGAGATTCATAGTCTAATAACCATAGCTTTGGGGTTTGTACCATGCCATGTAATTACCCTTACATGCCCTTCTGAATAAGTCAACATATATTTACTCAATTTGAGACTTAGATAAAATGAGTCAAAGTAGTGGCAGCCATACTTATCATTTTATAATAAAGAGATAAAGGCAGAGTTTAATTGTCTGTTTCATTCTATCATAACAGGAAAATTATTGCAAGTTAATTCAGGTGCCAAAGAACAACTTTTTTTTGAAGCTCCAAGAGGCAAACGGCACATAATAAGACCTTCAGAGGTAAAAAATCATACACAATAATTTTTTAAAATATTTTTTGAAGATTTAATATGTGCATTTTAATAAAACCTATCCGTCTTAACTACTAATATAGTTTATACATTTAGTATGCCTTTAAGCTTGATCATCTCTTAAATCTGATTGCTTTATCTGGCTTCCTGATTTCCAAGGACATATGGATTTACTATACCACTAATCCATCAATGTACAGTTGGTGCTCTGCTTAATTTTTGTCTGCCTGAGGACAACAAATAAGCCAACAATTTGGATGCTACACATTCCTTTTCCATTCAGCATGTCATTTTGTGCAAAACTTTTTACAAACATAAATTTTTGAAACATTCTCAATGTTTATTTGTAATAATAATATTATCTACAACAATAATAACAAATTATTTGGGGGAACAAAAACTATCCACAATCTGACTATTCTAAGGTATCAAACTGTTTTCTTTTTTCCCTATTTCCTTGTGTCCTTAACTACATATGTTATTTTTTAATTGTTGAAATCAAAGCCTAGATAAAATTTTTGAGTCCAAGCCAGGTGTGGTGGCTCACACCTGTAATCCTAGCACTCTGGGAGGTCAAGGGAGGAGGATTGCTTGAGCTCAGGAGTTCAACACCAGCCTGAGCAAGAGTGAGACCCTCTCTATATTAAAACTGGAAACATTAGCTAGGTGTCATGGCACATGGCTGTAGTCCCAGCTACTAGGGAGGCTAAGGCAGGAGGATCACTTAAGCACAGGAGTCTGAGGTTGCAGTGGGCTATGATGAGGCCACTACACTCTACCCAGGGCAACAGAGCGAGACTCTGTCTCAAAAAAAAAAAAAAAAAAATTTTTTTTTAATCCATAAACCAACGCTCTCCTGAAAGCTAGGTTGCTTTGTGGACGAGTCTACATGAAAGGAACTCTGATGACCAAAATGTCATTGCCTGATTAAGTGCTAAAGAAGTCGTCTTTAGCGTCTTTAGTTCCTGGAAACAACTTGACTCGTTTTTTGCTAGGTAACCTTTGATAAAATAAAAGGAAATATTGCTTCCTTAGAGAAAAACTCTCTAACTATAGTTTGCCAGTATTATAAACTTTCCCAGTATTATAAGGTACTCCCAAAGATATTTGGAGCCCTGTACATTCATAATATTTTCATTGTAAAGGAAGCATATGTATAGTACTTAAGAAATATATGTTATAGATGATGACATCATATTAATGGAAATTATTTACTGATGAATTGATCTCACTCCCCAATTTCAATTAACTTATCTCTTATTAGTCCTCGTTTTAACTTTTTTATGTGGAGAAACTTTTAAAGCCTTGAATAAGAGATATTTTTAATTGTCATTCATTCACTGAACTTTTGTTGAATGTGCCAGGCACTTTATATACCTATATTTCTATCATCATGACAGCATTACATGGTAGTTGTCAATCCCATTGTACAGATAAGGAAATTAAGGCTCCATGACAGTAACAGAATCACAGAGCTGTGATCCCAGTCTAGAGGCATCGGTGTGTGACTCGACAGCCTAGACCTTGAGGCCTCTCAGATTTCTCCTGTGTATTTAAGCATCATTTTACATCACTTCAGCTGTGTAGGTCAATGCCTTCCTGGTCTAGTGCCCCAAAATGAGAATGAAGTGTAATTTCACCAAATGGTAGAGGGAGGGTGAGGCCAGCTTGGGACAGATGAGCAAAAGAATACGCATAAAGAAGGAAATTCACGTTCTGCTTCCCACAGTGACAAGCTGTTGCTCTGAGAATTAATTTGTCCCTCTGTGGTGCACATCTGGAGTACTAGAGGCTGATTTCTGATGATACTGGCTGGGGCGTCCCTTCAGCTAATGTCTCCTTGGCTAACCCCCTGGTGGTGCCACTGCTATGAGCACTGAAGAAGTAGCATGTCGTTTTGGTCACCAATATTGTCAGGCCCTTCAACTGAGTATGAAGGATCTTGGAAATCTCATTTTCAAAAAGTTTTTTTTTTTTTTTTAAAGAAACAATCATGGTGAAACTAATACAAAGCTTACCCAGAAACTTGTTAACTATAGCAAATATTAAAATGTCCATTTAAAATCCATCCAGTGCAACCTCGTGTAGTGAAAGTAGCACTATATCAGGAGGGAGACTCTCTGGAGCTCACCACCAAGCTCCCACCCTCAGTGTGCTGTGACTTAAGTGATGTGACCTTTTTCTGGGCTTTGCTGGCCGCCTCTGCAAAATGATGAAAAGGATGTATCTGCCTGAAGCGAGGTGCTAAGGAAGAGACCCTTTGCGGACTCTTCTTCCTTCTAAGCTCCAGAGTTTAAAAAAATTTTATTTAACCCTTTTGGGTCTTATGGGTTACAGGGATCATTCTTAATGCTTCACTTTAAGTGCAATTTCTGCAGCTTCCGACAAGTTTGGCATTTGCTTTCCCTGGCTAGCGCAGTGTCCCAATCTGGCCAAGGGGGTTCTGTTGGGGTGACTACGGCTGCAGGGTTAGCAACACCAGCTGACCCTCCTTTCCTGCCCGGACAATGAAGCCAGCACCACCACAGGAGTGGGGTGCACGAGGAGGGTCTCACAAACGGAATGTGGGAGGGAGGCAGTGGCCAAAAAGCCTGCTTCCCGAACCAGCGGGGACTGGTCCCCTGGCTCCCTTCCTGTGTAGGTCAGGTTAGGATGTCATTAGGGACTGGGAGACTCTACTTCCACCTCAGAAAACTGAGGTAATTGCTGGCGGAGCCACCTTGAGTCACCTTGGTGTGTGACCCTGCCTGAGGCACCCACTTCACAGGACCAGTTGCAGATTTTTGGTTCCAGTTCTGCCTGTGAACAAAAGAAACCCAGAACGTTAAATGATGAGAAATTTAAGTGACTAAACCAGGTAGAGCACCTTACCGCATTGTAACTAAAACCCTGGCTGTATTTTTATCTTGTAATTTCCCTTCTAAGCAGTAACAGCAAGCAGAAAACAGCAGAACCAGTGGCAAAGTGCATTAGCAACAAGGAGTGCAGTCTCCACATCCACAGGGAGAGGTCTGGGCTTTGATGTCAGCTACAGTTCCCTAATGATTTTTTATACTTTCTAAATAGTGCTTTAAAGTACTTACCTAAAGGACTGTAATGCTAAGATGTACTAGCAGATCTTGAATGAAAGTAAATGAGAGAAATCCCCCAGGAAAGCCTAATATGTTGTGTTGTTTGTTGCTAAAAGAAAGAAAAATCTCAGTTTCATCAGGATTTAACCTATATAAGTTGCCATGAATTTCAGACAAAACAGTTTTAAAGGATAAAATGTATATTCATGGCAATACAAGATGAACAGCTCTTCAGATTTTGAAGATAGTCTCTCTGGAGCATAAAGGTTATTAAGCTAGCTGTAGAATCTTATTACTTTTTTCCTCCAAGGAAGCAGTCATTAAAAAAAAGTTATGTCTTATAATTAAAAAAAAAAGTTTGCTAAATGACAATCTCCATTGATCAGACTAGCTCAGTGATTGTCAACTGGGAGCAGTTTTGCCCCCCAGGGATGTTTGGCAATGCCTGGGGACAAGGATGCGCTACTGCCACCCAGTGGGTGGGCCCAGGGATGCTTTAACATCCCGCCATGCACAGGACAGCCCCTGACAACAAAGAATTGTCCAGCCTAAAATGTCAGTGCTGAAGTTGAGAAACCCTGACCTACCTTATTGCATACACAATGATAAATGTGTGGTTAAGAACTAAAAAACTTTATTATTGTTAGATTTCCACAGTTCTTATATGTTCATTTTATCTAGAGAAACATATTTGGATGTTTGACTGTAGTGTTGGTTTATTAAGACAATGCAGACAGCACTTTAAATATGCAAGTTAGAATTCATGTACCTCAGCACTCAACACGTGTCTGACATTGGCAAAGTCATCATTTAGAACTGCTCAGCCACAAATTCTTTAAAAAAACCAAAAAAACCCCACTATGTTGTGCATAAATATAATTTTCTTTCCTCTTCTTTCAGATCGAGAAGATAGAATGGGACACATGGACCTGTGTCCTGGGGCCCACCTGTGAGGGGATCTGGCCAGCACACAGCGACGTGACCGATGTGAATGCCGCCAGCCTCACAAGAGACTGTTCCCTCTTAGCCACTGGAGATGACTTTGGTTTTGTTAAGCTTTTTTCATATCCTGTGAAGGTAATATTGCATGTTTATTATATATACTTGCTCAGTCTCATTAAAAACTTCTAATCTATCTATTGTATCTAAGCAGATTTTTAAATTTTGGAAGCATAAGCAGTCGATGTTATTTATGGTATCATTTATGCTATATGAAAACTCCCCAACGGTATGTTTGCGTGACTGATTTAAGTGGACTCCACGTGGCATAGAATTCCTCCTTGAAAGGCCGTTAGCAGTCATCAAATCTAACATCTCACAGACTGTAAAGTAAGAGTCATCTTTTCCACATCTTGGACCAGTGCCTTCCTACCTTGTACATGCTACCTCACAAAGCAGCCTAATTCATTTTTAAATAGCTCCAATTGTTAAAACATTTTGTTCTATGTTGAGCTGAACTCTTTTCTCCTTAGACAAAGTTCTGCCTTCTGAGCCATCATTAACTAATCCCTGTCCTCTCACAGTCTTCGTGACTCCCTGAAGTCTCATTTTTTTCCACCTTAACATCTCCAGTTCCTTCAGCCATTGCCCATGTGCCATGGTTTCCAGCTGCCCCATCCCTTTAAGCACATTTTGTTTTATCAATTCCTTCTTAAACTGTCTCATCTAGAACTGAATTTAGTGCTTCAGAAGTAATGTGACCAGCTCAGAGCACAGCGGGACTGCTGCCTTCTTGGTTTTGATTTTACATTTCTATTAAATCAAACTAAAATGGCATCAGTTCTTTTGGTTGCCACATTACACAATTGAATGATAAATGTCATGTTCAAAATGTTCATCCTGTACTCACACAATTGATTTTCTGAAATCTGAGTACAGAATTTTGTTTTTACCCAAGAAGTTTTATTTAATTTCATTTTTCCATCCTGTCAATATTTTTAAAATACCTTTTCAAAATATTTACTGTTCCTTTCAGCATCATGCTATCCCCTGCTTTCACAATTGTTCTAAATCAGGGAAAAAAAAAAAAAAACAGGAATAACCAAACATCAACACCACATACCTACCCCCCATTGAATTTGATATTCTATTAATTCACAGATTTATAGTTCTTCAATTACTAACAGACATTTAAATCTAGCTGTACAATCATACAGCCTAGTCCACCGATACCATTAAATCCCTGGTAAATGTCTTGCTGAAAGCCTGATTGATCATGTCTCTGTCATCCCTAATCTCTCATTCTAACCAACTGATAAAAGATGTGAAGTCAGTTTACAGTCAACCTGTGTTACTGCCTAGTAATCCCTACTTCCTTTTCCAAGTGTTTATCGAACTTCTGTGTAATATTTCATCCTAGGATTTTCTAGGGATTACATCAGCTCATGAATCAATATTTGCCAGAGTCTACTTGTTTTTCCCTTTGGGATACAGGAACCTTGTTGTGTTTGATGCTGCCTCTCCTGATTTCTACACTCTTCAGCTAGTACCAACATTATTTCCGTGGTCACATTTGAAGTTACCTGTGCTCATGTAGATGAGCACTGTTTTGCTCTTTCTGGTTTGAAGAGTATTCTCTTTGACAGAGGAGATGAGTAAGTCTGCTTTCTGTTGACATAAGCCATCTGATCTAAGAAGTGCTCTTAACTTTTCTCTGCATTGCTTCTGTCCCTAAATGTAGCTTTAAAATCCTTTTCAGTGGTCTTAGTTTTTGACTTTAGCATTCCTGAAACTATATTTAAAGGTCAGTGTGAAACTTTTGTGTTTATCCTTGGTTATTCATTCCTATTGTCTTTTATATGCTTTAACTCGAACATACCAGTTCCTTCTGTAGCCACTTTGGTTACTTTGGATGCTTTTCCTCTTTTCTTCATCTTTTATTACTATCTGGCCAGATTATCATTTTGAGTACCTTTTCTAAAATATACATCTGCTTATATCAACTCTTCCCTTCATTGTCCATCTCAAATCAAAAGCCACCTGGTTACCTTCTATCAATATCCATCACGTCTCCTTCACTTACAAGCCCTTCCCATTTGATCAGAATTCAGTTCTAAGTAGCCATTTTCCTTGCTATTTCTACTTTAAAAAAAAAAAATTGCTAGCAGAACAAGTCAAGAAATTAGTGATACCCTGGTTTTAGTAGACTAAGGATTTGGCAGATACTTAGATAACTGAAGCCCCCATGGTACTATTGGATCTTGTTCCTGTGCTGGGTTTATTATTGGTCCTGGGAATTCATTATCTACCTTCCCAACCTGATGAGGTGGGCTGTATATGTGGGTTATTTCAAGCTGTGTTCCTCAGACTCCCAGGGAGGTGCTTCAGAGGCCACCCAGGAAGCAAGGCCGGGACCAAGTGAAGGGCCTCCGAGGCCTCATCCCTGCTTCAACAAGGGTTGTTACGTATTTTGTATTTTAAACACTGAACTTCTGTGTAAGATTTTTTACCAAGATTTTATTGTGAAGTTTTTCAAGCCTACAGATAGATGAAAGAATGACACAGTGAACCCCTACCAACCTGTAATCTAGATTCTATAATTCAAAGTAAATTATAGAATTAATAAAAAAGATCTCAAATAACCTAACTTTATACTTCAAGGAACTAGAAAAGAACAAAGTAAGATCTAAGTTAGGAGAAGGAAGGAAATAATAAATATTAGAGCAGAAATTAATGAAATAGAGACTACAAAGTTATAGAAAAGATAATGAAACTAAGAGTTGGTTTTTTGAAAAGATAAGCAAAATGGACACAACTTTAGCTAGACTAACCAAAAAAAAAACCTCAAAATTATAAATGAAAGAGGAGACATTACAACTGATACTACAAAAATACAAAGGACAATAAGAGACTACTATGAATAATTATATACCAACAAATTGGATAGCCTAGAAGAAATGAACAAATTTCTAGAAACATACAACCTATCAAGACTGAATCATGAAGAAATATAAAATCTGAACAGACCAATAATGAGTAAGGAGATTTAATCAGTAATCAAACCTCCCAGGAAAGAAAAGCCCAGGACCGGACAGCTTCACAAGTGAATCCTACCAAGCATTTAAAGAAGAATTAATGTACCAAACTCTTCCCCAAAAATTGAGGAGGAGAGAACACTTCCAAACTCATTTTATGAGACCACCTTTACCTGCATACCAAAGCCAGATAAGGACACTGCAAGAAAAGAAAATTACAGGCCAGTATCCCTGATGAACATAGGTGTAAAAATCCTCAAACCAAATTCAATAGCATATTAAAAGAATCAGACACCATGATCAAGCAGGATTTATCCCTAGGATGCAAAGGATAGTTCAACACATGCAAATAAATGAACGGGATACACCGCATTAACAGATGAAGAATAAAAATCATATCACCTCAGTAGATACGAAAAAAAAAAAAGGTTTGACAAAATTCAGCATGGTTTCATGATCAAAAACTTTCGAATTAGGTATACAAGGAATGGACCTCTACATAATAAAGACCATAAGAGACAAGCCCACAGCTAACATCCTCAATGGTGAAAAGCTGAATGCTTTTCTTCTAAGATCAGGAATAAGATAAGGATGGCCACTCTCACCACTTCTATTCAACATGGTACTGGAATTCCTAACCAGAGCAGTTTGGCAAGAAAAAGAAATAAAAGGCATCCAAATGAGAAAAGAAGTAAAATTGTCTCTGTTTGCTGACAACATGATTTTATATGTACAAAGCCCTTAAAGACTCCACTAAAAAACTGTTAGAATTAATAAACAAATTCAGTAAAGTTGGAGGTTACAAAACCAACATATAAAAATTAGTTGCATTTCTGTACACTAACAACAAACTATCAAAAAAAATCAATTTACAATAGCACCAAAAAGGATAAAACACTTAGGAATAAATTTAACAAATGAGATGAAAGATCCGTACATTGAAAACTAGAAGACATTGATGAAAGAAATTGAAGAAGATACAAATAAAGATATCCCATGTTCATGCATTAGAATAATTAATATTGTTAAAATGTCTACACTACCCAAAGTAATCTACAGATTCAGTGCAATCCCTATCAGAATTCCAATGGTATTTTTCGCAGAAATTGAAAAAACAACCAAACGACCCTAAGATTTGTAGAGAACCACAAAAGACTTACGTAGCCAAAGTAATCTTGAGAAAGAACAAAACTGAAAGTGTCACACTTCCTGATTTCAAACTATATTATAAAGTTATAATAATCAAAACAGTGTGGTACTGGCATAAAAATAGACATGTAGACCAATAAAACAGAATGGAGAGGCCAGAAATAAACCCACACATTCACAGTCAACTAATTTTTGACAAGGACACCAAGAATACACAATGGGGAAAAGACATTCTCTTCAATAAATGGTGTCAGGAAAACTGGATATCCACATGCAAAAGAATAAAATTGGACTCTTATACCATATACAAAAATTAACTTGAATGGATTAAAGACTTAAATGTAAGACCTGAAACCATGAAACTCCTAGAAGGAAACATAGAGAAAAAGCTCCTTGCCATTGGTTTTGGCAGTGATTTCTTGGATATGACACCAAAAGCACAGGCAACAAAAACAAACAAGTGAAGGCCAAGTGTGGTGGCTCATGCTCATAATCCTAGCACTTTGGGAGGCCAGAGCAGGGGGATGGCTTGAGGTCAGGAGTTCAAGACCAGCCTGGGCAACATAGTGAGATCCTCATCTCTACAAAATATTTTTTAAAAATTATCCAGGTGTGGTGGTATGCACCTGTAGTCCCAGCTACTTGGGAGACTGAGGCAGGAAGATCACTTTAGCACAGGGGTTCAAGGCTGCAGTGATCTATGATTGAGGCACTGTGTTCCAGTCTGGAATGACAGAGAGATAGTCTTTAAAAAAAAAAAGACTACATCAAACTTAAAAGCTTCTGCACAGCAAAGGAAACAGGCCACAAAATTAAAAGGCAGCTTATGGAATGGGAGAAAATACTTGGTCAAAGGGTACGAGGTTTTAGTTATAAGATGAATAAGTTCTGGGAATCTAATGTGCAGTATGGTAGCTATAGTTAATGGTACTATATTGTTAACTTGCAATTTGCTGAGAGAGTAGATCCTAAGTGTCCTTAACCCCTACCCCCCTATGCACAAACACACAAAATAGTAACTGTATGTGGTGATGGATGTATTATCTTGATTGTGATAATTATTTCACAATATATACATATATCAAATTATCACATTGTACACTTTGAATATATGCAATTTTTGTCAATTATACTTTTTTCCCAGTAGAGCTGGGGGGGGGGAGTAAATTTTTAGACATCTGGATACTTACCCCTAAATGTTTTAACATGTATATCATAACCTAGAATTCGATATTTGTTTATGGTATTTTTTAAGTAAAATTTAATTACAGTTAAAATATACATGTTTTAAGTTTTCCAACTGATGAGCTTTGACAAATACGTGTACCCATGATACAGAACATTATCTTCACCCAGGATGCTTCATCAGGCGCCTCCTGGGTCAGTCCCCACCCCCACTCCACCCTCAGGTGAAACTGTTGAATGTCTTTTCACCATAGATTAATTTTACCTGTTTAAGAATTTCATATAAACAAAATAATGAAATGCTGTTTTGTATCTGGCTTCTTTCACTCAGATGATGTTTCTGAGACTTATCCACGTTGTAGTGTGTAATGACAGTCTGCTTATTTCCATAGCTGAGTGGAATTCCACTGTACAGGTATAACAGTTTATTTGTCCATATTTCTGTTGACAGACACACTTTCACAGTTTGGGGTTGTAGTAAAGCTTCTTGGAACATTTTTGGACAAGTCTGTGTGGACATATTTTTTTTCTTAAGTAAATATGTAGACGTGAAACTTTGGGGTCATGTGGGAAAATATATTTAACTTTTTAAGAAACTGCTAGACCTTTTTCCAAAGTTGTTGTATCACTTTACCTTCCCACCAAAATTGTAAGAGAGTTCCAGTTGCCCAGATTTGATATTGTCAGACACACAACATTTAGCTGTCCTGGGGAATAGATAGTGCTATCTAATTGTATTTTTAATTTATATTTCTCTGATGCATAATGATGCTGAGCACTTTCTCATCTGTTCATTGGCTGTTTATAAAGTATCTGTACAAATCTTTGGTCCATTATTTTAAATTGAATTGTTTGTCTTTTTATTCTTGAGTTCTACTGTGTCAGGTTTGATTGAAGAAATAGTGTCATAGCTTAAGAGCATTTGAAAAACCACTAACCAATTTGAGGGTATCATTTCTCATTCTCCTCTTTTTTCTAATCTGATTTTTCTGGCACACTTTCCTTCTCAGATACATAAACCCCATGCTGATTAATATTTCCAGCTCTATAGTCACACTCTTCCAACTGCTCTGGCTCTGTTGATGAAAGTTCACCATCTGTTATGAACTAAATGTTTGTGTCTTCCCCAAATTCTGTTGTTGAAACCCTAATCCCCAATGTGACTGTATTTGGAGATAGGGCCTTTATAGAAGCAACTACGGTTAAATGAGTTTATAAGGACAGGGCCCTAATCTGATAGAATTATTGTCCTTATAAGAAGAGACAGCAGAGAGGTCCTTCTCTCTCTCTGCACACACTGAGGAAAGGCTGTGTGAGCACACGCTGAGAAGGCAGCCCTCTGCAAGCCAGGAAGAGAGGCCGCCCTCATCAGGAACAAATCGGCTGGCACCTTAGTCTTGAACTTCCTAGCCTCTAAAACCGTGAGAAATAACTTTGTTGTTTAAACCACCCAGCAGACAAATACACCATACCACTCTGCTGAATCCTAGCATGGAGCTCCATGTCATCTAGTCTTGGTGATACTCGGGAGATCTTATTACCACCACACAGCTCTCTTCATATTCAAAATTCCAGTTCTGGCCAGGCTTGGTGGCTGTAATCCTAGCACTCTGGCAGGCCAAGGCGGGAGGATCACTTGAGCTCAGGAGTTGGAGAGCAGCCTGAGCAAGAGTGAGACCCCATCTCTACTGAAAACAGAAAAAATTAGCCAGGTCTGGTGGCTCACACCTATAGTCCCAGCTACTCGGGAGTCTGAGGCAAGAGGATCACTTGAGCCCAGGACTTTGAGGTTTCAGTGAGTTCTGATGATGCCACTGTCCTCTACCCAGGACGACAGAGTGAGACTCTGAAAAAAAAAAAAAAAAAAAAAAAAATTCCAGTTCCATTAGGTGCTAAGATCCGACATAAATCTTGATGCTTTTTCTCATACTTCTTTTCCATGAGTTACTAGACATCTCTTCCAGGAATTTTTCTTTCCATGACAGACATGATCCGTATTAATATTTGGTTTTACAGTTTGGAGCCTCCTCAATTAGGTCCTTAGTTCCCTGACAGCCACATTATCCCAGCCTCCATGAGATAGACTCGACCCTTTTCCAGAGCCTCAGCGAAGGCACTGCCCTGCTTAACAAGTCTCCAACCCCCCGCCCATTAGGAATCAGGCTGCACATCACCACCTTAGCTCCACTGACCCCAATTCATGGAAGTTGTCTTCCATGAATCTTAGGAACCAGGCCACACAGCAGGAGGTTAGGGGTGGAGGAGTGAGAGAAACTTCATCTGTATTTACAGCCGCTCCCCATCACTCGCATCACTGCATGAGCTCTACCTCCCTCTGCCACCCTCCCTGCCCCATCTGTGGAAAAATTGTCTTCCATGAAACTGGTCCCTGGTGCCAAAAAGGTTGGGGACTGCTGCCTTAAACCACAGACCAGAAAACCAAGTTCTGTCCTTTGACACTATCTCGCTGGCCAGCTGCTTCCCGTAGCCTCCCTTCCTTTCCCTTTCAAACCTATGCCCTTCCACCAGATGTCATTTGCATTTTTAAAACCCTCCATGTCTTTAAGTTTCCTTCCATGAATGTCAAAAGCTCTGGAGAATGGTTCTTTAGAAAGAGCTGTGCATGTAAAATTTTACAGACACAGACACTGTATGTGAAATGCGAATGTGGGGAGGGGACGCATAACTCTCATAGATTCTCACGAATTTCTTACCTAAAAGCGATTTTAATAACCAGTACTTGGGAGACACATTCCAGATTCTTCTCACTCTATCATCCATTCTTTCACGATTCACTGAAAGAGGGGACTTGTGGTGAAGCAGGGAGTCCTGATGGGTAGACAGAAATGTCATGTGGCATGATGACCTAGGAAGGCGCTTGGTCCCACTAACTGTGCCAGGTCTTGCGCAGGCTCCCTCCATGGGCCCTAAAGGGAACCACCAGACACCCCTGCCAGCCTTTTCCTCCTGAGACAGCAACTGGGTTCCTGGCACCTCCGTAACTGTGAACTCCCTTGTTCTTCCATGGAGCAGTGATCTTGTTTCCTATTCTGAGACTCTTGAATAATCCTCTGCTGGAAGAAACTCAGCCCAGTTAAATCGCTTCAGTGGCCTAGAAGTGTTTCCTCTCTGTTTCTTCCTCTGTGTCACTTTATTTCCCTCTGCACCCTGAGTCTGATCCCTTAGGATGGGTTTTCCCCAGAACCTTTCTTTTTGGGTTCTTTCTTCCACCCTGTCTAGAAACCCTGTGTCCCAGCTTATAAGTAAGGGTCTAGAGACATCTCTCAAGCTCTTTTACTTTCTCCCTCACTAAAGAAACCAGCTTGCATCTGCAGTAGACATACTGGGTAGGTTCTTGCTTCCAGCTGGAGGACTGCCAGGTGCATGTGGCTGCAGCCCCTGTGACTGTCCCGTGTTTCCATGTCTTCTGGACCTTACATGGTCATGCAGGGGTGTCCCTCGAAAATTCTTCTTTTGCTCCTGCCTGTTTACTCACAAACTAGTGGCTTGGAAATGCTGCCTGCCTGTTTGCTGCACTGATCTTTCTAGACTCAGTACTGTGCTGAGGAGTGGGCAGTTCCACCCTGCTGTTGGGTAGGGGTCGGCCAGAGACAGGCAGATCTTGGCCAAGAGCATTTCAGTCATGAGCTGCCCTGCATCTGTTTCCTGCTCTGTGTCTGTGCTGGTTTCGGGGTTCCCCGTGTGCCGGTCCCAAACCCTCTGGAAGCTCCCTTGTCAATTATTTAATGAAGTTTTCACGTGGGGAACCATGGCCCTCTCACAACCACAGAGCTCACATGGCTTCCCGTGTTGTGTAAGGTATTCCCTGGGAGTCGCTGAGAGGACGGAAAAACTCTGCCTCTCTACGTGGCACCCGCTGGGGCTGTTTTTGCCAGACTGAGCTTCGCGAGTCACAAATGGAAGCTCTTTCTGGTGCCAGCTCCGGCTTTCCACCACCTGTCAGGGCGGCCCTGGAGCGGGCAGCTGGCCCACATTCTGCCTCCACCCTCTGCCTGGGGGTAGACGTGGCATGGCCTGGGCACACCACTCCGAAAAGCTGTTAGTGGTTACTAACAAATTTGGTTTTTTATTTAGTTATGCTTGTTGAAAAGGAGCTGACTTTGTTGTTGATTTTTGAGTGTTTCTCGTGTTAAAAACGCTTTCCAGTATCTGTGGCAGAAACTGTTTTGTTTTAAATCCTACTTGAAGTCCTGGGATCATAAGAGTTCCCTTGCTCTTCTGTCACTGCCTGTGCTGTGGGACAAAAGCCACTGTGGGGGAAGGCTGGGAGGACACTTTTGATTTCAAATGTCAGCCAGGCTCACAATCAGGCGTTTACATTGGAGACCTGTGGAGATGGCACATTTGATATTTGAGAGAAACAGAAACAAGCTTTTCATCCTTCCCGAGGCACCTAGAAATAGGTCCTGTAGTCTAATGTTTCACTCATTTCCTCAAAAAATATTTACTGAATACCTATTATGAGCCAGATACTGTTTTAGGGGAAAAACAGGCCAAGTCCCTGCCCTCATGGAGCTTCCATTCTGGTAAAATGTAGGGAAATTGCTGCTTCAATGAGCCATTTCATTTGTATCTAGTAGAAACCACCCTAGAAAATAACATGGGTGAACTTGCCTGGAGAGAGGAATAGTGAGACACTGGTTGGGGTAGCCGCCAATTTCTGCTTTACAGGGACAGCACGCAAGATTCAAGAAGTACGTGGGGCACAGCGCACACGTCACCAACGTGAGGTGGCTGCACAACGACTCCGTGTTGCTCACGGTGGGCGGCGCCGACACGGCCTTGATGATCTGGACGAGGGAGTTTGTGGGGACCCAGGAGAGCAAGCTGGTGGACAGCGAGGAGTCAGACACCGACGTGGAGGAGGATGGAGGTGAGCCCCGACCTGCCACGCATCTCCCGCCACGTCCCCTTCCGAGCCACTGCCTACCAACTCGCTCCCCGATCTCTCTCTGTCGTTTGAGGCTATGACAGCGATGTTGCTAGAGAAAAGGCCATCGACTACACCACCAAGATCTACGCGGTGAGCATCAGGGAAATGGAAGGCACCAAGCCACACCAGCAGCTGAAAGAAATCTCAGTGGAAGAAAGGTATGGTGTCGCAAGGTTTGTTTGCTTTCATTATGCTTGATGACGAGAAAGTTATTTAAACCAGAGGGCATTTTCTTTGCCCTCAAAGTTGCTACTTAAGCAAGTCTTTTATAAATCTGCACAGTCTTACCCTGAACCCAGGCTGAAGCTGGGGAAAAGTGCCCACCACCCTCAGTACATGTAAAGGATGGGTTACGTTTTGTAGAAGTTGGTTATGGAATGTGGCTTGAATAAACGTGGCATTTGGTGGGACCAGGCTTCACGTTGCCTAGAGAGGATGCCAGGATAGCCCAGCAGCTGTGCTGATGTCATGGCTGATGGGAAAGCCTGCCGATTAGCAAGGTAGGGAGGGCAGGCTTCCAAGTCATGGAGGAGCATTTGTGGAGTTGTGAGAAATCATCTTCCTCTCTAACTGGAGTCTGTATGTCACATTCTGTCACTTGGTGTACTTCCTCTTACTGTGTCTTCACCTGCCCAAATTTGTTCAGGTGAGTGTGGCAATTCCAGGCCCCTCCCATTTGATTTCGTTGCCTTGAATGCTCTATGTAGACAGAGGGTTCTTCGTAGTATTTTAGGGCTTTTTGATGTGCTGTTCTAAGTGTTGATAAGATGAATTGTCAAATACTTTAGCATTTCTGAAAAGAAAAGCTCATAATTACTGTAATTACTTAATTTACCTTAATTTACTAAGGATAAATTATTGATTAAAAACTCTAATATCTGAAGAGAATTTCATGGATGTCAAAGATGTTTTAAGATTCTCTGTGGGCTCTTCACATTGAGGTGGGCTCAATGTTTCCAATACACTGGTCCCACGATGTATAATTTATGAGATTCAAGTTGCTTGCATTTGGTGTGGCTTTCTGCCTAATTATAATTAATAAGTCTGATCTGTCACCTCTTACTGTTAGGTGGGGATTAAGATACAAAGAAATGAAATGTAACTTCCCCCTCCTGCTTCAGTTCAGCACCAGATGTTAAAATAAGCTTGGTAAATGGTGGGTGTGATACTGGCAAGAACATTGAGTAATGCAAAAAACCCTGATTTTCCCCCGACCCCTGACATCATTGTTAGATGTTGCTATTGAAGGTTCAGAGTTCTCTTTTGATTAAAAAAAAATTATAGAGGCTTTTCCTGCAAAGTATAGTTTATTTTGCTTGCAACGTGGCTTTAAAGTGGCCACAAAGAGAAAATAATTTTAAAGGATCTAATTCTTAGAATTAAGGGGAAAAAAAGAACCATATGCATAAGTGCATGAATAGGCCTCCCACTTAAATAATCCACTCTAAAAATATTGGGCCTAAATTAAACATTTCTTTGAAAAAAAACGACCCAACCTTTCCAATTTCACATACCATTATGAAATGAGTTGACTTGGCTATTATTCCAAGAGTGTTTCTGGTTGGTTTCTACAACGCAGTGGTGTATGATGCTGAGATTTAGACTAGTCACTGAAATATAGTCATCTAACCAAAGCCCTAACTCTACAGCTGATTTCAAACCTAAACCAAGGTTCATCTAAACCTCTCCTTATCTCGTTGGGCAGGTCTATAAAAATCTCAAACTCTGCCCAATTTAGCAAAAAGGTAGGAGGAGTGAGGATAGAGAGGACCCTAAGAAGAATTTTCTGTTTTCAAATTTAGAATTTTCAAGCTACCTCATTTTCTTCATCACACCAGACTGGAAACTTGTCATATGTTAATAACATATGCTGGATTGATTCCAGTTTTTTTTTTTTAACAAAAAAAAATGTTCAAAGTATTATGAGATATAGGGTAGGTATTTCAGTACTTATTGGCATTTTATAAAATGATTCACATCAGGATGCAGTGAAGAAAACAACTTTAAGATAAGTATAGGGTCCGGAGAAATAATCAAGCCTTTTCTATAGAGAGCTCCTTCCTTGATAACTTACAAAGTCTTGACAGCCTCAGTCCCCAGAAGGGGCTGTAACCAGAGAGCACAGTACCAGATGCGCAGCTTGGTGGGTACAGAGCAGGGACCACGCTGGGAGGGGTGAGCTGGTGGAGGGTCTGTGGAGGCCAGTCATCATTAGAAGCAAAACCAAGCAGTCTGCGTACCGGTCCTGGTCAGTCATTTTAGGGTGGCCTGGACCTCAGAGATTGGGCTGTAGGCAGCTTCTGAACCACAGAAGAGAGAAGTGTGAGGCAAGGCAGGCATCCAGGGGACTTGGGATACAGCGGATGAGTAATGGAATGTGGGGCAGAACCAAGCCCTTGGAGGGGAGCACAGACGTCAGGCCGCATAGCTCAGTCCTCAGCTAGGGTACTAAATGGACCTGTGGACGCCAATGCCCTGGAATGTGAGAGGTGCAGAGACAAAAAAAAGTGCTAACATCAGGACCATATGAAGCCAAGCAGCAGCCAGCTTCTCCCTGGGAATGTTAGGGACTGTCAACTGACAGCCCCTGACATTCCCTTTGACTTCCAGCCCTGCCGATTGGAGAGGCAGGGGCTCTCCTTGACCTTCCCTTCATTGTTCCTGTGTGTGTACCTGCAGATTCCTGGGTGGTCTTTCCAAACACTTGGGCCACGGCAGGCACCAATAAGACCAATGGGAGACAGGTACTCAAGGACTGAAAGAGATGTGAGCTTGGAACAACCACTTCATGCAGGGGCCTGTTTTCTCTTTCAGCAGTGTTTCAGGCAGCTCTGCCCCTGGCAAATCCCTCTCCACCTTCTAAAAGCAGATAGAAACCGTGAGATGAGGAAGCATCTGTCGTATTGAGAAAAATGCCTTCAAGGCAGCTGTACTTTATGCATCAATCACTTTTAAGCAGCAGAATTCCTAATTCCCAAATTTTAAGATAGTCATGGATTGTTTCTATTCAGACTGGGTTATTTGGCTTTAAAATAACTGTGAGACTTTGGATCATGCTTCCTTATACCATTTCGAATACATTGAGAGTTCTTATTTTTCAGAAGTCATAAGATCTTCAGTTCTAATCTTTTGAAAAGTGAGAAAGCTGAGAAAAAATTAGTAATTGCTCTCGAAAGAATACTGGGCTGTACTCACCAAATACGTAATCCTTGAAGGGTGTTTATGGAGTGTCCGTGCCGGCCACTTCAGCTCTAGCACAAGGGGAGGCCTGGCCTCCCTGACCTAGACTTGTGTGGACAGTCCCGACCTTGGGAGAACCCTTGGGTGATCTTGCTGCTTCTGTCATGTGCGGCACGTGGCTGAGGAAAGTCGTGAAGTCTTTTCCAACTTGGGGAACCTGGGCTTTCAGACCTCATCTGGCCACTGCTCTCCTCATCCCCAGCTGACTTGAAGCTAGTTCTGGTCTAGAGGAATCTTTCCAAACATCCCCTCCCTCCCAAGCTCCTAGCTCCAACCTGACACACCCCTGGCTCTCAACTTTAGCTCAGCTCCTGCTTTGCCACGTTTTCTCGTAAGGTAATGGCTGTATTGTCCGTCGCAAACTTAAATTATTTAATATTCAAAATGTCAGGAAGCTTCCTTTTGAAAAAAGAAAAATGGGGGAGGGAGTATAGTTTTAGCAATTTAAGGCACAAAAAGCTTGTGTCATCACAGCACAAGGGATGGTACTCAAATCCTGTATTCTGACTTCAGTAAAAACAGTTCTCCCAAACTCATCAGGTGACTAAAATGTTTGCTCAGTACCAAATTACTGTAAAGTTAAGAATTTCCTTTTACCCCATTACCAAAGCCACACCTAGTTTATAAATTGTTTTTTGCTGTATAACATAGGGCTTTTCAAGGGGCAGTCACCCAACCCCAACTGGCCTAAGCAAAAGGGAATTTATTCGCTCACCCTCCTAAAAATCCAGGGATCAGGGAAACTTCTGGTGTCACGTGATGAGAGAACACAAATCTTGCTGCCAGGATTGTTTTTTTCTCCATACCTCGGTTCTGCTTCCTCTGGGTTATCGCAGTTTTTCAAGTAGCAAAATGGCTGCAGTGTCTAGACCTTACGGTCTCTGCGATTCAAGATAAGCAGGAAAGAACAGCCTCTGATTCGCAAGTCCCCACAAATGTCTTATGACGTGCTGTTGGCTCTGGTGGGTCATGTGACTACCTTTGAACTAATCACCATGGCCTAGGGGGGGAAAAAAAGCCTTTGATGGACTATTCTTAAGTGAATAGTCACCTGCCACCTACAGACTAGCAATGCAGTCACCTCCACCAGAACCCCAAATCCAGAGCTGTTAACAAAACTAGAGTGGTTGATTTCTGGATGGACCCTAAACAACAAACGTCTACTACACTCCACCCTTTTCTTATCATACATACATACGTTCTTAAAATGCCCTCATTTTAAACTATCCCATATATGATTAAAAATGCAGTTACAACCTTCCCAAAGTCTCAGCCAGGAGCTATTATACATCTAGCCCCACATCCAGGACCTCAGAGTATTGTGAAGTTGTCTCATCCAGGTCCAGATAAAGCCCCTCGCGGTCCTGTGGCTAATGACGACATTAACCACCTTAACATGCCAAATGGACAGTGGTGGAGAGAGGACAGGGAGGATAACTTTTTTTGAACTACTATTTTGAAGGAGGAAGAATCAGACACAACACACAGTGGTCCCTGGTCCCTGCCATATTATCCTCAGCCAGACAGGACAATCAAGGATTCCTGTCACACCCATGTGCGTGTTTTGTACGACTAGGTGATGATAATGACGTTGGAGATGCCAGCAGTCAGGAGTAAAGACTTTGTTCTAGATAGATAGATGCATATGAAACGAAAACATTAAGTAGGAAGTAAAGCAATATTCTCTTAGAGGTGCAGCTTCCCAAATTCCTACTGGCATGTAAATGATGTCCCTGTTTTGTCATTCTCATGGGAAATCCTGTATCCTCCCATCTGCTTGTGAACTCCTCCCTGACTCTTTGGGAGACTGGCTCAGGGACTGGCTGCCCGCAGGTGCAGACGACCAGTGCACACAGGCCATCAGACTGGGGGAAGGCAAGGTCAACTTTTAGCAACAGCTCCCAGGAGGCCCACATTT